ACACACACACACACACACACACACACACACACACACACACACACACACACACACACACAGGAATGAACAAGTGAAACCGCTGCCAGGGTGTGTTTGCTTTCTTTGCATTCTTCTCCTGTTTTATTCAAACACATTTTATCCTCTTCTATCTCCTCCTTTATCGTCTTCTTTCTCTATCACCCAAATCAAACACGYTCCTCTTTGTTCTCTTTCTGTCTCTTTGCTCATATGGGTTATTTATGTGAAGAAAAAAAAAATCAGGCAAGCAGTTGAGAAACAGAGTGACACAGCTTCCTCCAACGTTTCCTCCTCTTTTTACGGACTTTTACCAACAGCTGACTGCAGCTTGTTTTTTTCCTTCACTGTTGATGATGACTCAAAGAGGAAGATCAGAGTCAGGACGTTCATGTTTACATCCTGAACGCATCACAGGACTGTGCACGATTATTTAAAGTAGACATATCCTGCTTTTAAACCCTWCTTTTCTACATTCAGTTGGGCTATATAAAGTGGAACTGCAACAGTTTGGTCTGAAGCCCTCCTTATTGTAGCTCCACAAGCCCTTTCACCCCTTTTTCTGAAGTGTGTCTCAGATCAACTCATTTTGAGGCTGTATCTTTAAATCCAAATGAGGTGCTTCTGGAGTGATGCACTGTAGAGGTTTATGACTATATGGCGGTGCAGAAATGTTTTATTTGCAAATTAAGATGTGAACAAGGGAGGATTTGTCTATCCAGCCTTACAAGTTGAAGCTAGAGTCTGACCCAGAGCCAGAGGAGAAGGAAGATGATCAAATTGTAGTTGGTAAGTCTATTTGGCAGTTCTTAGTCAATACTGTTATGCAATAGTTCAGAAAACCTACTTGAAAATAGAGAAAACTGAGCAGGTTGGAAAATATGATCCAAACAGAACATAAAGCTATGTATGGAGCACTGAGAAACTAAATTAAACTTTTCTTTGTAAAATGATAAAGTTTTATGTTGTGTTTATGTTTTTGTTGTAATATGTCTCTGTATTAAGTGCGTTCTTCTCATGACAGCAGGCCAAAAAAATTAAAATTAAAATTTTCACTAATTTGTGATTTGAGCCACAGAGAATCATCTTTAATTCTTTAATTATCATTTTCTGTGTTCTTTCCTCATTTTAGAGCCAAATTATTGGATTTTTAGTGAGGTTTTCATTTAATTTTTCATTTATTTTTGTTTTCCCCCTCGGTTTGTTTGTTTGTAATAAAATATCTAAATGAAAAGGTTAATAGAGAGTAAGTCATAATAAATAAATGTTAAAGATGTGACTTTCCAAATCAAATTGTTTGTCTTTTAGGTTATGTATGTTCTAAATCCTACGTAAAACATACTTTTGAAAAGTAGTTTTACATGAATAATTTGTCATAAAACATTTCTTTACTGAATATTGACAGAATTTGGCGTTTGGTTCGGACCAAGACTCCCCTGTGTTAGACAAAAAGACACTTATTGTGGAAAAGACCACAAAGGAGGTTTGTGGATGCAGTGAGGGAGGACTGGTGTGTGAGARGAGGASGAGGAGGAGGAGGATGGGATAGGGAGTGACTGAAGAAGATATCTGCTATGGCAAGAGCAGCCAAAAAAACAGATTTACTGGAAAAGACTAAATACTTGGAATGAGGTCTATACATCAGAAGCTACAGCTGTCRGTGGAGTGAAGTAACAGTGAAACTTTTGGAAGTTTTCAGTTTTCTTGTACAAATGTCCACATTCCAAGTGAAAGCAAAAGTATAAAGCTTAATGTTTTTTCAGTATGATTGGTTTGCCAAGATTAGTTTACCTTCAAACCACAAGTGTTTTCACTTAACTCGGCTGAGTAAACTTCAACCCGGGCTGCAGCTGGGTTGAGTTATGAGAGTTTAATGACAGACTGGATTTTATGTAGCAATAACAATGATTAAGGTGTCATTTGTTCTGCCGTTATGGTACAACTGAGAGCTGCAGAGATATCATTCAGACCCAACATACCCTGCAGGGCTGATGTGTAATCAGACAAAATGATTGAAAACACGTGTGTGGCCTTTCTGTGGCGTACAATGTCTTTAAATAAGAGTTCATAAATGATCAGGGGAAGTAGGTCCTCCTTTTTATTATCCAACTGGAAAAGCCTCTTTCCATCACACCTTCATGTACCCACGCATCAATGATTTGTTTCAGAGGTTTCAGCGGTAACCTGAGCCTGGGTTTCCTCTRAGAAACCATCATTAAAGTCGTAAATTAGAA